GGACCCGAAGGGAGAAGATTGTGGATTAAACTGCAGTTTTAGATCAACACTTAGTGGAAGAGATGTGGAAAACAGCGGGGAGTGTGAATAAGTTTCAAATGGGTATAGGTAAGAGGTAGGAAATTGTGATATTGAATGAGAGATAAGAGGATAATAGGATAGGTGAATAGCCCAGGACAGGAGAGCTACCACAACTGTTTAGCACATAATTAGTCAAAGGATCAACTTCACTTGTCTCTTTGACGAGTTGTAGTGTTGTGCTAAGAATGGCAAGACTACGATGCCGGTGAAGCGTCTGAAAATGTACCATGTCCACGGTCCGACTGGAAATGAACATGCATACTGTGGACTACGGACAAGGTGCGTTTCTCAAAATCTTCCCGCCAATATGACCAAGTTGCGAAAACAAGGTCAAACAACTTCTTTTGGGGTGCCAACAAAGTCCAGGCGAGTTTGAATTCCGCCATCCTCCAATGAATCCCCCTACTCAAAAATTATGTAACAAAGTTCTTATCCAAGAACTATCTGCAATCCTCATACTTAAAATTCCAATCTTAGATTTTTGTGCAGACTTTCATCCCACATGAAAGTGCTTATGAAGAGATTATTTGGTTGGTCTTACTGAAAAACGACGGTCTATTCTCGTTGTTCTACAGTCGTTCTGCTTTAATACGATGTTCGTGTTGACGCAGTCCACAAGATACCTTCCATTATTTCGGGTGAAACTGGGTTGAGCTTTCGTCTATAATTTGACGGACATCATCAGAGCTAAAAGTCATTCTTGTTAAAGTCTCAAGTTAGCATTAGGTCAAGCTTACGTGTTATATAATATCATGATCAAAAAACGAAATATTATAAATATAAATAGACAGCTAGAGTATGATTTGGCTAGTTCTCATTCATATTAGTCATGGTACTTTTATTTGTACGTGCGTGTGCTTGTGTTAACGTCTATACGCGATTAGAATAATTATAAAAGCCTAATGGCAAGACGGCGTCAACATGAACGCTAAACAGCGAAACGGGAATCGGTCGTCGTCTTCCGGTAAGGTCAATCAACGAATCTCTTCATCATGCACTTTTATACGAAACGAAAGTCGTCACAGCAATTATATCTTAAGAAATTAATCATAACCAAGCTAAGGTATGAAGACCAAGATGGAGTGGCCTTTTGTGGGGTCGCAGTTTCCTTTCGTTGTATAGACGTTGTTTGACCTTGTTTTCGCAACTTAGTTATGTTGGTAGGAAGACTTAGAGGAACGCATCTAGTCCGGGGTCCATTGTCTGCATGATCATTTCCAAAGTTGAACAGTGGACGTGGTACATTCCCAAACGTTTCGCCGGCATCGTAGTCGACATCGTCAGTGAGTATCGCCATTCCTTACACCACACAACAACTCGTCAAAGAGACTCGGAGAAAGAGACAAGTCTCTTTCACGAGTTGTTGTGTG